CTGACACCCATATCGGAAATGTGTATCTGGGCAAAGTACTGCTGAAATGTGCTTATTGTTTTACAAATGTGTAAATTCTTTCACAGCCTGAGGCCATTAAAGCAGTGTACAAGAAAAGAATAAAATACAAATTGTAAAAGCTATTGCTAGAATTACTGTTCCATAAATCATTTTGTCACACCTCTGGGAAAGTCTATAGACATCTAAACATGATTCTGGGTGTCTGTCTAATTTCAGCTGGAGTGGCACAGTATTCTTGCTGCCCATCTGAGTGGTACAGTTGCCAGGCATGGGTATATGGGGAGGGTTGTTCCCTTTGGTTACCTGGTCTCAAGTTGCTTTGGACTTTAAATGCTAAAAGCCATACCTTGAACTGTTTCTGGTAGAATATTGGCAGCCTGTGCAGCTCGCTTAGGAGAGGTGTTATATGGTGTTGGTGGAATACAGTAAGCCTGCAGCATACATATATTTAACTTCTGTGCATTCAGCTTTACGTGCATGGCAAATAAAAGGGAGGGGGTTCTGATAAAAATGACTGCCAATCTCACCTGCCACTGAACCCAATGTGTTCTGACTATCCACAATTTTGGCTTTAGGTATAATCCCCAGATTGTAACCCCCGTATAAATTCTGGGCTTATTGTACCTCAGTCAACAACCTAGCTGCTTGGTGCATTCTGTACCAGTTGCTGCTTCTGAGTTAAGCCCAAGGGAAACCCAACATAGTCAATTGCAGTATTTCAGACCTGAGTTTAGCATGCCAAGCAGCAAAGCTGTCTCAGTCTGGGAATGGCATTAGCTGTGTTACCAACTGAAGGTGGTAAAAGGTGCTCCTAGCCATTGAGGCCACCTGAGCATTGAGTGACAGTCTGGTCAATGAGCACTCCAATCCAGTGCATTGCTCTTTGAATACAAATCTTGAGCTATAAACATTTGGGTCTACAAATCTTTTTAAGATGCTATTGCAACTTGTTGGTGTTCTACACCATTGCCTGATGCATACACCATATAAACCAGGGTACCTAGAACATGCCAGGGACCTTCTCTACTTATGAGAGTTCCCCAGCTGGTTGCAGCAAAGTGCTTGCAGGGCAGAGTATACAAAGTAGGATAAAAACAAACAGCATCTTTACTGGATACATTGCTTATCCTAATGCATACTTTGGGGTGAAATGGTACAAGGGATGGAGACAAATGCAGCTTGATGCTTACAGCAGTGCTTTCCTTTCTACCCTAGAAAGTTTGAAGAAATCTACCCTCCTGAAGTAGCAGAATTTGTATATATCACAGATGACACTTACACAAAGAAACAAGTCCTCAGGATGGAGCACTTAGTTCTGAAAGTCCTTTCATTTGATCTGGCAGCGCCTACTATAAACCAGTTCCTTTCTCAATACTTCTTGCATCAGCCAGCTAGCTCCCAAGTGGAAAACCTGGCAACGGTAAGTGTTGGTTCTGCACATAAGGTTTTGTTTTTTCCTTCGGTTCCTGTGGGAAGCAGGTGCCTTCTCTTAAGGAAGAGCTTTGTTTGAGGCATGTGTTAGAACCATAGATGGGACCACGAGGGTCATCTAGTCCAATCCCCTACAAGGCAGGAATCAACCCTACGATTAAGAGTCTTATGCTGTACCGATTGAACCATCCCAACTCTTAACCATCGTTGGCAGGGGGGTAAAACTTTCTCCAGCTAATGTGGCTAGAGGGCATAGCATGAGTCCAACTGAATGGCATATTTTCCAGGTGCTTATTAGAAGAGTTTGTGCTACTTGAAGGGCACAATTTCCATGTACTTGTGTGGTGTAGGACAGGAAGGGGCTGGCTTGGTTTAGCCAATGCCACTCACAGCTTGTTAGTCTGTTAATGTTTGTTTGCCTGTTTTGAAAGTGCAGCTTCTGTACGACAAAAATGCAGGGGGCCAGGTTTAAGCATGTTTTCTCTCTCTACAGTACTTGGGAGAACTGAGTTTAATTGATGCTGAGACATACCTGAAATATTTGCCATCAGTAATTGCTGCCGCAGCATTTCATACAGCAAACTATACTATTTCTGGAAAAACTTGGGTATGTATAATACTTGCCTTAATACACATATTGGAGCGTCAAAGGGTCTACCTGCACCTCAGCCTGCCTGTACACTGAGATCAGATGCCCTCTTCTGTATCCTCTGGCCATCAGGTCAGGCAAGTGTGAAGGCGGCCACCATGGTTATGGGGCCCTGCCTGGAAAATTGTGAAGACTTGCCTAGTTACCTACATTCTTTCCCAGCACCAGGCAAAAACCTTGATTTTCCCCAGCCTTGTATCTTGAAACTTTAGAGGCTTTGTTTCTATTTTTGCTATGATGTATTCTCTTTCAAACGGCCTTGAAAGTTAACTGTTATGTATGACAGTGTATGACATTCAGTTGACATTACTGGAGAAGATGAGTAGGTGTTTCGCCTTGAGGCACATAGGAACACAGTATCAGTGTTATTTAGTATGTTGCTTGGTGGCCTGTAACGATTGCTGGGCACTTTCAGTGATCCAATTCCACAGTTGTTACTTGGGAGGTTCCAATGAAAGTCTGCAAAATGTGCACACAAGGATTCATAGGCCATAATATCTAACTGCTCTGTACTTCTAAGTATGACACTTTCTGTACAACCTACCTCTGTGTCCCTTGCCCCCATTTTTAAAATTCCCCCTCCCCGAACGCTCAAGTATTTGACCCATGATTAGCATTGATGCTATTCCTTCATCATTAAATTTAAATGACGTTCCACCGTCTATAACCATACAGGCACCCCGGGGCAAATTCTGGTCTTAAGGGTACTGAAAAGGATAATCTCCTCTGGGACACTTGCATGCATAGCATGCCTAGGTTCTTTAGGCAATAAACAACAGGACTACTATCATCTTCAGGTTCTCTTAACACAACAGACTTTGCTCTCTTCTGCCATTTAATCTAGTAATCAGATTTGCTTGTATGTGCCATGGATCCACAAAAGTAGAGAAAGAACTGTCTTCCCTACTATGCTTTTAAAAAAACCTTTCCCTACAGTTCATCCCATGTCAATCCCAACTCTTCCTTTGATAATGCCAAATTTCAGATTCAGGACAAAGCCTAAGAAAATAGGAGCAGTGTTCCAGCAATAATGCTGAAAGGCAGGGTTGAATAACCATCTGACAATTTCCTTGGCAGACTGACTCGCTTGCTGAAGTTACGGGATACACAATTGAAAGTCTTAAGCCTTGTATAATGGACCTCCACAAGACCTACCAGACAGCGGCACAGCATACGCAACAGTCTATACGAGAGAAATACAAGGCTGTAAAGTAAGACTCTTTTCTATGCTTTTTTCCTAAACAGTCGGGGGTACACTAGAACAGGGGTGGCAAACATGATGCCCTCGGATCTTGTTCACTTAAACACGGAACAGCCCCACCTAGCACAGACAATCGTCAGGGATTATAGAAGCTGTAGTTTAATATCGGCAGGGAAGGCACCATGTTGACTGCTGCTGCATTAGAATATATTGTCATTTTCTACACAAATACAGTTGATGGAATATAAATACTGTGCTGGAGAGCAGAAGTTAAGTGTTTGTCTAACTTATCTTTTTCAGGTACCATGCAGTATCGCTCATTGACCCGCCAGAGACACTAATCTTATCATAACAATCAAACTTGGCATCTCAAAGGTGTATATTACCTGTAATAGCAACTGTACAGTTTTAAACTTTTATTTAGACTTCAATCACTCTGGTATATTACCATAGAAAATTGTGAAGTTTTCTACTTTTATAATGTTTTAATGTAAACTTTTGTACATGCAATCTTGTTCTAAATACTTAGGTGACGCGCCTTTAAAAGTTCTGTTGAAACAGACTTAAACCATGCAGGTCAACCGCTTAAGTACTGCTGACCCTTTTTTAAAAATAAGAGCATGTAAGTAGGGATTCTGACTCTAAATGTCAAATCAAGAAAATTCAATAGAGTCTGTCTGCATACTTGAAATACTAATACGAAGGAAGGTTCAGTCTATTCAGACTCCTATATACAATTAAGTTGCAACAGTATATTTGGGAAAGTCAACTAATGCTTAACATAATTTAAGAGTGACGCTACTTTTTACAGTTCTGAGTAGCCATTAAGAATGTTGACTGGTTATTAGATGTTTGTGCCTGCTGGTGGCAGAAGTGCCATTTAAGTTCATGCTGCTACAGTAGCTTATGAAACGCTGCATTAATGATTTTCACTCTAACCCACAGAAAGGGAGTCTTGAAAACAAGGGCAAGAAATAGCATTTTTGCCACAGGAAGGCTACATAGACAGCTATTGCTGTCTGAAAACTGTCTTGGCTTGTACTCTGAGGTCACAAATTGAAACTACTTAATGTGTTGCCTATTTGAGCATGCCAAACTATAACCTACAGACGTAAAGGCCATGGATTTGGTGCTAGAGGTATCACAGAGCTGAACAGTGATCTCAACTCATGCATACTGCTCTGCAACCCAAATGCAGCTAGCAAAGGTCCTAGGCTTGGGTAGCTGTTCAAATCTGATACGTATTGAGTCTGCTGTACAAACTAAGCCCTGGTTTGAAAGGTTTTCTATATTTGTAAGGGTGGCTAACTTTTATATTCATATTTAAGTAGGATTTTCTGTAAGATAGAATACTGCTTCACATGTGCTCACAGCAAACCAATTGCATGTAAAGACCTACGTGTAAACCATCTTGAAGCTGGTCAATAAAATCCTGAAAGAGGACTTGTCTGCTTGTGTGTTAACTTAACCTATTTTCAATATAAGAGGCTCCATAGGACCTTCTCAAGTTCAATACCATTTTATAAGGCTATTTCTAAAAATGTCACTTTTAAAACTGTGACCTAGAGGTTTGGATGTCAAAGAGGAGGAAAGATTATCTTTTGTCATTACCCTGTGAAGAGAAAGCAAAAATCAAGTAACTGGTCAGATCCTCACAACCTTTCCTTTAGTAAAGAGCTACACAGAGTAGAGCCCTAGTCCAGTTCTGCCTAAACTTTATTTGAAAAAGATACTGCACTTAGGCAAGTGAACACACCATGACAATTCCTTACATGTGCACATACACACTAAGTTACAGAATACAGAGCAAGCAAGTTTAATATAAACAATAAAACTTCAAACGGCTTTTTTCTTCTTTTTGCCAGCTGTTTTTTTATTGATGTCCTGCTTTGGGGAAGACTCAGGTCTGTAGGGAAGAAAAGCAGGGAAGTTACAGCAAAATCCAGTAGTCCATTTGTTCATCAAACTACACTATATTAATTTTCAATTATACAAAATATGTGCTCATTTGCCTTTCCCCTGGGGAAAACCACACTGGTGCTCAGATGGAACAAACAGCAATCCACAAAAAATCCAACTGCCATTTGTTCCAATTCAGTGTGAACTCTGGGTTTTCCTAAGGGAGCAATGGGGCAAATGGAATTGTGGATGAGCCCAGGTCTCTAAAAGATTAGCATTGTATCTGAAAGCAGCTATGAAGGCTGTACTCCTTACCACAGGCATACTTACAGTATATGGGAATAAGCTGCACTCATCACATATTTAGAATTGCACAGTACATGTGCAATTATGTGCATGCTCTCTCCACCACCCCCAGTTTCAGAAACTGCTATCAGGCACTACCCAGCCTTAAGGTTTTAAACCTGCTGATACACAATAGACAATTCAATGACTATGGGACTTTGGCTATGACCAATACATTTCTGTAGTGGAAGAGTATGGGTCTAGAACTGTAGAAGAGATGTATGAACTTGTTTCCTGGGTTCAGAATTCACCTTTAACTTGCATTACATGGGTAAAAAAAGGTAACAATTATAATGCAATATTTAGGTTTCTTTTATTTCAAGTTCCGGCTAAGCACATAAACATATAGAAATATACCCTTTTCTTCCCCCTTAGCATAAAATTTTAAGTAAACATTTCACAAGGTGGAAAAGCTTAGACACATCCAGAACACCAATATCTTTTCCTGAGTCAGATACAAAAACTTCTCTTTGAATCCATAGCTAACTTTGTTAAAATGAACTTAATTTGTTTGGATCATGTGGCCTAGATACAGAACACATTTATTCATTCTGTGGAATTTGGGCCTCTTTCCTCCAAAGGCACAACTTAGAAGCAGTTTAGTAACAATTTGAGCAACTTAGGAGGTCTGCAGCAATCCTGCCCATAACTATTTGCTGTCGTACATGCAAGCTTCCACTCCATCAACATACAGTTATCTTTGGGGTACTGCAGCCTCAAACTCTTACCTTTCTTCATGTTCATCTTAAAGGACATCTCTGAATACAGAGCTATTTGGATTTTTTTAACCCATTCGTTTTTTATGCCTCACTGACCCCTATTTTATATCCTGCCTGAGTTACAGATATGCTATGGACTAGGGTGGGCATTTAGTCCTGCAATTTGAACACTGTTCAGAAGTGACTCCAATTTCTCATCTGTTCAATAAAAATAGTGGAAGTAAGACCGCCAGGGTGGGGAGCAGTGCTAAGTGCCTTGCTCACAAGCAACGTGTGGATTCCTGACCATGCTCCATGTGGTTCAAAGCAGCCAAGCTGATCTGAATCCCCTTCCATACTAGCAGTAAGTCTCAGTCAAACACAGCCAGCTATAGAAACAGGAAAATGTCCTTGTGATTACCTGCTGAGTGCAATTTCTGGCTCCAGGATAACAACATCTTCCTCTTCACTGTCAGACAACACGATTGTCTCATCTTAAAAATGTAAGAAAATTATTCATTGGTACATGGGTTTCATCTGGAACAACATGATAAACGATACGCTGTAGCAGAAGTGCAGAAAGGGTGTGCCATTTCAGGCTGATGGCAACTGAAATGTGTGTGTTGGCACCACAGTTAATCCTGAATTGTGTTACACGCCACACCAATCTCTGAGTGGCATGAGATTCCAGGGGTTCCAGAACCCAGGGTCTGTTTCCTTTGGCATCTTTAGGATATATGACTTATATACACATATATACAACCTGAGCATACGATGCGAGGGGTTCAAAGCATTAACACTCCAAAAGGTTATAGCCTCTCCCACGGCCACAGCCTTGGATGCCAGAAGACAGTCATGGCCCTCTGTCCCTCTGCATAGCTTGATGTGTTTAACAGCCTGCCACTTTTCTCTCCAGCTTGCCAATGCTGACAGCTTGCAATTATTTTTCCTCCAGCCCACATCATCCCCAACTACAATCCTAAAAACAACTGCTCTCCTTCCAACTCTAAAACTCCACTTCAAAGACGTTCATGTTTCTAACTAATTGTGAGTTGAGAGAAGGGCCCGTCCCACTAATTGGAAAATATCAGTTTGCTAAAAGTTTAACTCTTCTGATTCAACAGCAACGTAGCGCAGAAAACAGACAAAATCTTTGGCCCACAGGCCAAGCAATGGGTGTGACACTAGGTGGGTAGGTAAAGACACAGCTGCAAAGGAACCATCATGAGCCTCAAAGTGTTCTCCCATTAATTATTTGGAAAGCAGGGCTTATATGCAGAAGCTTTTAAATCTGGGACCAAATGCAAACTCTGCTGGGATTAGTTTTGACTCCTGAGCTCCCAAGTTAATCCTGGCTTGCAACCACTGCTGATCAGCCTGCAAACCGTGCTTTTGGCAAGGATCTTCCTTTTGCAGCCCATCTCAAGTTCAAGCCAGGTTGCAAAGAAGAAAGGAAATACTGTGGGTGCACTTAAGAGTACAATTTTGAAGCTGGGTCATCGGATGTCACAGTGACATCATGTGACTGACAGGTGCTGTGAAACTGGCCCACATTGGGCAATGAGCTCAGGATCTGGCCCAGCCTGGTTGGCAATAAACAGACTTTATTCAAGACAATATTCAAACTGTCCCCTCTGCATATTCAACTGTCTACTGTTGTGGCCAAGAATTCTTGCTTACCTATAATTAGCATGCACTAAAGCAGAAACATCTACAGACACTAATTTACAACTTCTAAGCTGTGTTTTCCCATTTGATATTACCCACAATCTTTCATGAAGCACTGTTGCTAAAGGTACCAACCTTTCTGACTTCTGGTTCGAACACCAGTGTCTCCTGTTTCCATACTCTGGTCTTCTACAGTTATTGGTTCGTCTGGGGTGACTTCATCTTCCTCCTCTTCCTTCTCAGATTCCTCAAAATCTCCCCAAGAACTCTCTTGTCCTTCTCCAATCTGGGCTGTGCCAGAAGCCCATAAAATGGGCTTGGCCAAGCTAGGTTCATTAAGCAAAATGCAGACATTATCCAGATTTCATTATAGTATGAGGGACTTGGTGGGCTTTCTGACTCAGAAATAGACCTGACCTTGTACCACATTTTGCTTTTTATTTTGGAGAAACAGGCTTCAGTCTGTCCTCAACACTTGCATGCAATGCAGCAATGGTATAAATTCTTCATAATATTTTGACAAAAATGTATAGAAGAAGAAGAAGAAGAAGAAGAAGAAGATGATGATGATGATGATGATGATAATAATAATAATAATAATGTATTATTTATACCCCACCCATCTGGCTGTGTTCCCCCAGCCACTCTGGGAGGCTCCCAACTGAATATTAAAAATGCAATACAGCATTACACATAAAAACTTCCCTAAACAGGGCTACTTAGGATCACAGAACAGTGATACCTACTCTGATACCTTTTTGCACAATAGCCTTTAGCACAGTGTGTTGTTAGCAATATGATGCACAAGCTTCAGATACCGTTTTTCCTCAACATTTTGCTAGGGTTCCTTCTTAGGACATTTGCGATTTTTTTCAACATCTAGTTAACTTTTCCCCTGGTGGGATAACCACAACCCTGATTGCTATATGCTCTTTCCTGCTGCAGTGAATCTTCATGCAGTTCTTGGACACTCTTTTATAAAAAATTGTGTGGGCATTGCCATTGAAACTAGAATTGTGAAAATGTATTCAATTGTAAAAGAATAGCTCTAGCACTTAACATTAATCACCTAACACACTGATGTGAGGCAATAAAAAGGATACACTTCGGAAGGTGGAAATGCTTTTGAGATTATTTCTTCAGCTTGCTCTTGTACATCATTAGTATCAATTGGGGCTTGATCTATCTTAAAAGCTGTTATTTTCTGGCTGGGAATAGATTCTGCAAATCCAAATTTCCCTCCTTCTTTCCTGTTAAAACAAACAAAAAAGTTCCTTTAGACATCCAAATTGACATAAACATTCATAATGTTGAAATGTTCTACAAAACAAATATAAATAAGCAATATAGCTTCTGTTTCAATTTATATCCTGCTTTCAAAAAAATTCCCATCAAAGTGACTCACAAAGTTACAGAACAATTAAAACCAGCCAAACAAGAAAACAAAAGTACATCAGCACAAGAAGAGTAGTAGGGTGGGGAGGGAATAATATGACTTATCTGAATAAAAGGTTTTCAGAGCTTATTTATAGACTGGAAGAGGAGGGGCTTGGCAGTACTATGACAGAAAAGGCTGAATTGGTCAGACAGCTGGGACAGCATTGACAATCTCAGGGTTCAGGCAGGTTCCTATGTGCATACGCCATGGCCTAACCTTTAGGATCAATAACATTTTAGATTGAGTTCAGAAACAAATTGGTAGCCAGTGTAACTGATGTATAAGTGGTATAATATATACTTATCATCTGGCTCCTAGCCTTATTCTGGTGGCCCAAAGAAGCATCCTTGACAGCCCTAATATATTTCTTCCCTATTTCTAATGGCCTGAGTAAATACTAATGGTCCAATTCAACTATTCTGATACAGGAAACCTATCAGGCAGATTTTATACAAAGTCTGATGGAGAAAATTTGTAGATTAATTTTAAAATGGAACAAATTGGTGATGCAAGTGAGTACCTGTGACATACTAACCTAACTTTTTGATCATTCTCCAAGGCTTTTTGAATTAGTTCTGTAATTTCTGCTACTTTAACACCGGTTATTTTGCTGCATCTCAGAACCTGTGGTAAATAGATCAATATCATGACATAACAACAACAACAACAACAATTTATTATTTATACCCCGCCCATCTGGCTGAGTTTCCCCAGCCACTCTGGGCGGCTCCCAATCAAGTATTAAAAACAATGCAGCGTTAAATATTAAAAACTTCCCTGAACAGGGCTGCCTTCAGATGTCTTTTAAAAATAGGATAGCTACTTATTTCCTTCACATCTGAAGGGAGGGTGTTCCACAGGGCGGGCGCCACTACCGAGAAGGCCCTCTGTCTGGGTCCCTGTAACGTTACTTCTCGCAATGAGGGAACTGCCAGAAGGCCCTCGGCGCTGGATCTCAGTGTCCGGGCTGAACGATGGGGGTGGAGACACTCCTTCAGCAAATATAAGCTAAAAGGTTTTGTCACAGCATGTGTTCACTCCATATGAGGTATGGTCAAGTTCTTAGATCCGGGGAAGGAAAGATGCAATAATGACTATGTTTCAGAAGCCAGACACTGGATAGTCAATTCATAGCAAGGGAGCAGACTGAGGATAGCATGCCCTTAAACCATGGTTCAGAGATATCTACCCACCTGCCAAGACTTCTGGGAATTACTGGGCTTTTGAGTAATACCAAGCCTTTAAAATGGATTAAATGAAGCTTAATTAAAGGATTTAAAAGGCTGTCTGTTTACATACTGTCTAAGAATAAACAGCAGCATTCACTCTATGAAGTTACAGGTTTCTCTCTTCTATTTCAAGTAAGAAGAAAATAGGGCGGCAGAAACCACCAATATTTTGAGCTAATAGTACTGTACAAAGTCATGTAGCAAATAAATATTGGAAGACTGCATCATGGGATAGTTTCCATTAAACTTTAGCAAAAAGTATGATTTTAGCAATATTCAAATTAGGTGATACTTTGTTAGAATTGCAAGTTTAGGTCTAAGCAATTATTTGTCCTTGAAGAGGTCGAGCCATTCTTAGGTTAAAAGTGTTTTTTTTATGCAAAAGCTTTGCAAGCCTGGTTCAAATGTCTCATTTGTATGCTTTCTAATATTTACAGTGCAGGGAAGTGTCTCTACATTCAAAGAGTCAATCGACTATTAACAAGCCCAGCCTCTTGAAACTTTCTATCTCCATGTAGGCACCTAAATGTGCAAGCTCTTCCTTCTCACTCTGTCTCAGACATGCTTTGCAGAATAATGTTAAAAGTACCTATCCGGTTCAAAATTCAATCAAGACCTTATGTGAAGATGGATTACTCAACAGTGAAACATTAATTATCTGCATAAAGGAAAGTGTGATCCACAGCTTAATACTTAAACTTCAGAAACTTCCATATTACCTGATCTTTTAGCAGCATAATTCCACCACTGGACTGAATTGTACAAATCTCACGGTGCTTATTCATAGCAATCACAAGAAGACCATCCATTACACGTTCCTCCTGTTCACTGGGATCTACTAACAAGTAGGTCCTGCAATCATTTTACAAACCATCAGTAAGTGTTTAATCCTGCTGATCAATGAAAATTTAAACAATACAATGTGCAAGATGTTAGGTATATGTTTAAGATGTGTTTGTGAATTAAAACCTATGCTGATAAAACACTCGTTAAAATCAGTCATATTACACTGCAATAACTAACTGATTTCTCAGATTAAGACGGCATACTATCTCACTTTCAAGAACCCACCCCATGGTTCCTCTTTGGTGTTATGTGCCTGAATTCTAGAAATTGCTGGCAAGTTGCTTTCAGCTGATGGAACAAGATTAACTTACCCTTGCTGGAAGAAAGCAAAGCTTACACAGATAGGCATGTGGTGGATACTCAGAGGGACAGGATCCCGCTCCTCGGGGGTATACTAAATAGTCCAATACAAAAGAATACTTTACTTAGCAAAAAATACATAACTGAGAATTCTTACTGACTAGTTACAGAATAAAACTGAGTGGTTACACGGCTTTCAATACTGTAAGAAGAGAAATTTCCAGCCCTCAGAGTTGAGAAGAACATAGCTTTATAGATATACAGTTAAATGATTTCTATTTTTATTATATTTGAATATCTTGCCCATCCTCTAAGAGCTCCCCACTTGCTTTAGAGAGGAGTCTCAACTGAAGCTGATCAACATTTCGTAGCTAAGCAAATCAATAGATGGTTCCTGCTCTTATTCCCCAATGTTTTATGTATAACTTCATATTTAATATACAGCTATCACAAATCCAAAATCAGACAATATATAAGTGGGATAGCAGCCCACAAACTAATTATTGGTAGACCACCTAGTGCCTGCAGGAATTATTGCAAAGAACATTGGACTCTGATCTGACTGAACAAGGCGTTTCTTAGGTTCTTATCAGTGCAAAGCTGTACTCAATCTGTGCTAAATGATTTTGAGTACTATGTCCTCTTGCTTATGAAGTCCCAAGTACATTGCTTTGCTTTGTAAAGCTAACTCACACTGATGGACCATCAGGATTCTACTTAAAGGGAAAGTCAAGAATGCAAGACTGAAGCAACTTACCAGGGTTACTTCTTCTCCTTGCACAGATACATCTGGCCTCCGGAAGTGGCATAATGCCACTATTGCTGCTATGCTTGCAGCATCAATAATGTTTCCATTATGATTCAACAAATGGAGGTCCACACGAATTTGCCAGACCTCAGAATAAAAAACAACAACATGCATGGCATTTAACTTTGCTTCTCAGTTTTTTAATGTTCAGCAAATATAACCCTAAAAGTCCTGCTGTCATATTTTGTTCATACATTTGCCTTGTGCCTCCTTAGAAATCTCATTAAAAACTAGAGAAAACATATTTGAATAAAGAATCAAAACTCATGTGAATATAAGGACACACGTCTAGGCTCTGCTGGTTTCCAAGAGGCTATTAAAAACATGGGAAGGCAAGATCTCTGCAGGAATATTGAATGTGGCATTCTCATCAGTGATCACACACACTGCAAAGTATCTAAAAATATAAGTGTATGTCACTGTAAAGCAGAAATCGGGAACCTGTGGCCCTCTAGATGTTGTTGGATTCCAACTCCCATCAAACTCTGCCAGCATGGCCCAAGGGTCAGGGATGATGGGAGGTTCACATGTTCCCCATTACTGCTGCAGGAGAAAGAAAGCTAACCAATATTAATAGCAAACCAGTATTAACTATTCTCCAGCAATACTTTTTGCAATGCTTTTAATTAACTTTTAAGGTTTTTATAATGTTCTATACCACCCTTATATTTTATGACAGGATAGCATATAAAAACTTTTACAGAATAAATATTTTGCTATTGAATACTTTAGCAGGTAAATGCTGGGGTCTCTTCTACAGTTCAGCAGACATTTAAAATACCTTTGCCAAATACCATACATTATCTCTAGAAATAATCAGCAGTTATAACCTTATTTAGGTTTAAGTTTCATTTAACTCAGTGCCTACCATTGGTTTACTAAAAATCAAGACATTCCTGGCAAATACCAGTAATTAAGATTTAATATATATATATAAGTACCTAATAGGTACTAGGTACCTTGCAACAAGAGAGAGAAAGAACAAAAATCCCTGATCACAGGTTCACAATCCAAAAAACATAATGCAAAAAAAGAAAAGAAAAATAATTGACTAAAGTGTCAGAATTTATGCAATCACACACCTTTTCACCAGCAACAACGCAGAGAGATTCAGTATCTATACACTTGGAGTTCCTTAGACATCTTTCTAACAGTCGATTTAGTTTTATAAGCAGCTCAGATTGTCTAGAATGGAAAAAAAACCAAAGACACAAAGCATTAGCTCCTAACAAATGCAAAGCCAGAACAGTATTATTATTATTTTGCATTATCTTTGCTTGTTGACATTACAAGGAGCAGGGGGAACACTCACATACCTTCCAGGCTCAAAAGCAGGTGATGCCATAGGAGAGAGTTCAAGATTAAAGAAAAGTATGCCCTCTGTTGCACGATTTGGCTTTGGGGCGACAAGTTCACATGACACTTGCCCAAGAACTCTGCAGAAAGAGAAGCCACCCCAAAAGACAAGCTTTTAGAAAGAAAACAAATTAACACCTTAATTATTAACACTAATTATTGACATGTGACAGGAAAGCAAACAATGAATCATTCTAAAATACTAGTCTCTGGACTTAATGTGAAATTTACCTGGGATAAGTTAACTGCAAGCCTTGAGACAATTGTGTTGCTAAGTTGTAACCCACAAATCAACATTGGGAACACAGCTAACTGCCTTACACTGAGTCAGACCATTGGTCCATCTAGCTCAGTATTTTCTACACTGAGTGGCAGCAGCTGTTCCAGGCAAGCATCTTTCCCAGTCCTACCTAGAAATACTGGAGATTGGACTTGGGACCTTCAGCATACAAAGCTGATGCTCTACCACTGAACTATGGCCCTTCCCATTATACCTAAAGTTCCAGATGAAGGAAGAAATTCAGTAGCTGTGGATTCTCCCACCTGGCTTTCTCCTGCTTTTTTATACACAACTTTCTCCTGCCTGCTATAACAAGTAGGTCCCCAAGTAAGTGACACAGCATACTGCCATGACAGAAATGGTGGCAGTGAGGTGGTTCAGTTATGCCTGGATAGTTGTATTCCCTTATTTTGAAATACCTGGTTTTTCCGAGCTCCACAATACAGCAGCCATAGTCAGTGCCAAAGGAAATGCGGAGGTTTCTGTAGTCATAGCATTGTCGCCCATCCAGACGCTACAAAGTAAGAGCACAGCAGTGTTACAGATGTGAAGTGTGGGATTGGGAAGGTAAGCCACAGAAGTACAGAAGCGGTTGCACAAGGTCAACAATTGCTGGATGCAGCTTAGATTTCCCTTACACATCCCAACAGTCCTTATCACTAGAGTAGCCACCTTTTGGCAGGCAAGATTTCAAGAAGTATTAATAATATTTATAAAACTGCCCTTTGGTCCTCCACACCCCAAGGTAATGTACACTTAAACAATTCAGCAGAAGCACTGTTTTGGTGGGACAGGGGTGAGCAGGTGTGTGTATGTGGGGGGCTCCCTGATCCTGAATGGAGTAACTGTGCCCCTGAAGGACCAGGTGCACAGCCTGGGAGTCATTTTGGACTCAAAGCTGTCAATGGACGTGCAGGTCAATTCTGTGTCCAGGGCAGCTGTCTACCAGCTCCACCAGGTGTCCAGGCTGAGACCCTACCTGCCCGCGGACTGCTCTAGTTATCTCCCGTATAGACTACTACGATACACTCTCTGTGGGGCTACCTTTGAAGGTGACTTGGAAACTACAACTAATCCAGAAAACGGCAGCTAGACTGGTGACTGGGAGTGACGGCCAAGACCCTATAACACTATTCCTGAAGGATCTGCATCAGCTCCCAGTGCGTTTCCGAACACAATTCAAAGTGTTGGTGCTGACCTTTAAAGCCCTAAATGGCCTCGGCCCAGTATACCTGAAGGAGTGTTTCCACCCCGATCATTTAGCCTAGACACTGAGGTCCAGCTCTGAGGGCCTTCCGGCGGTTCCCTCACTGTGAGAAGGCAAGTTACAGAGAACCAGGCAGAGGGCCTTCTCAATAGTGGAGCCCTGCCTTCAGATGTCAAGGAGATAAACAACCACAGTGGTACCTCAGGTTAAGTACTTAATTCGTTCCGGAGGTCTGTACTTAACCTGAAACTGTTCTTAACCTGAAGCACCACTTTAGCTAATGGGGCCTCTTGCTGCCTCCGGAGCACAATTTCTGTTCTCATCCTGAAGCAAAGTTCTTAACCTGAAACACTATTTCTGGGTTAGCGGAGTCTGTAACCTGAAGCGTATGTAACCTGAAGCATATGTAACCTGAGGTACCACTGTATGTGACTATTAGAAGGCATCTGAAGGCAACCCTACATTAGGAAATTTTTTATGTCTAACGTTTTACAATTTTTTTATGTGTTGTAAGCCACCCAGAATGGCTGGGGAAGCCCAGCCAGATTGTAAGCGGGTATAAATAAAATAATAATAATAATAATAATCAGCTTAAAATACAGCTTCATCCATTGCCTGAGGTCAAGAGTCGTTCTTTCACCACTCGAGTTAATGACGACTAGTAACATCTTCTCCCTCCCACCTTTTAAACAACACGCTCCCGGGCACCGCCTCTCCCACCCGCGCGGGAAGGAATCCACGCCCACGGCGCGCTTTCCCCACGAGTCCCGGCACATAAACACGCGCAATCCTGCGTACGAGAATCCACGTCCCGCCACCTCGCACCTTCCGCTCCTCAATAGCCCGGAGCAGGAACCGCTTCTCGCAGTTGGACAGCGGCGTCTCTTTCATGGCAGCGGCGGCGGCCTTTCCCCTTCCTAAGGCCCGTCCCACGCTCGTAACCGGGCGCGCCGCTTTGCCTCTCCGGGCGCGCTTTAAAAAGGGCGTCACAGGTATGCGACGCCTGCAGAAACCGTCCCGCTTCGTAAGCGTCGCCGGCCAAGCCGCTGCTTAGCAACGAGGCCTTGCCTTGGGGACTACAGCTCCCATCCACCTCAGCAGGCCGGCGAGCCGTCACAACGCGCGTCGGCAAGCCTTGCCGTAAATGGAAGGAGCATGTCGTGAACGGGAGGGGGGGGAAGGAGTCTCTGTGAGGGCGACCTCCAGCGGTCCTAAAGCGAGCTGCCTGAGTTTGAGGCGGGCGAGACGCGTTGAGAGTCTCGTACTTCGGAAAAGGGCTATGTAATCCTAGACATACTGTACTCACTTTGGTGTAAGTCCCGTTGAGCTCAATAGGACTGGCTTCTGTGTCGGGGTACTAAGGGTTATGGGACGCGGGTGGCACTGTGGTTTAAACCAGAGCGCCTAGGACTTGCCGATCAGAAGGTTGGCGGTTCGAATCCCTGCAACGTGGTGAGCTCCCATTGATTTGTCCCTGCTCCTGCCAACCTAGCAGTTCAAAAGCGCGTCAAAGTGGAAGTACAGTGGTACCTCGGGTTACAGACACTTCAGGTTACAGACGCTTCAGGTTAAAGACCCAGAGATAGTACCTCGGGTTAAGAACTTTCCTTCAGGATGAGAACAGAAATCGTGCGGTTGCGGCGCAGCAGCAGCAGGAGACCCCATTAGCTAAAGTGGTACCTCAGGTTAGGTTGGCAGGCGCTGGGACCGAATGACGGGAGCGCACCCCGCCGCGGGGATTCGAACTGCCGACCATGCAATCGGCAAGTCCTAGGCGCTGAGGTTTTACCCACAGTGCCACCCGCGTCCCCAAGCAGTTCAAAAGCACCTCCGGGTGCAAGTAGATAAATAGGGACCGCTTACCAGCGGGAAGGTAAACGGCGTTTCTGTGTGCGGCTCTGGCTCACCAGAGTAGCTTTGTCACGCTGGCCACATGACCCGGAAGTGTCTGCGGACAGCGCTGGCTCCCGGCCTATAGAGTGAGATGAGCGCACAACCCTAGAGTCTGTCAAGACTGGCCCGTACGGGCAGGGGTACCTTTACCTTACCTCAGGTTAAGAACAGTTTCAGGTTAAGAACGGACCTCCAGAATGAATTAAGTTCTTAACCCGAGGTACCACTGTAGATAACTAGGTACCACTCTGGCGGGAAGGTAAATGGCATTTCCTTTCACTGCTCTGGTTCACCAGAAGCAGCTTAGTCATGCTGGCCACATGACCCGGAAGCTGTAGGCCGGCTCCCTCGGCCAGTAAAGCGAGATGAGCGCCGCAACCCCAGAGTCGGCCATGACTGGACCTAATGGTCAGGGGTCCCTTTATCTTTACTAAGGGTTAGTAAATTAAGGTTAGGATTCAGAGAAATGGCTCGAGCTGTAGCTTTTTAGTTACTCTGCAGGTTCTAGCCCAGTGGAGTCCAATGTTTTATTTATTTACATAAGAAGGAAAAGAAAAGCAAGGGGGAAAAGAAAACAAAGTACCAAACCACAATGATAATATTTGGTCAAGATACAAAAAAGCACAATCTCCTTAAACTGAAGCCCTTAACATCTAGTGACCTGACTGTGAGATTCATCTGGTATTTGGGTTATCCCAATAGCTGGCTCTGAAAGGCCTAAGGAGTGTGATAGAGATGCATGCAGTGCTTTTTTTCTTGAGGAAAAAAATATGTTTAAGGGTACTCTCATTTTGATTCAAAAAAAATCACCATTTTATAGTTCAAATCGGGGAAAAGAAATACAGTAAATGGACAAAAGTATGAAGATTCACAAAATGTTTAGGGGTATGTGTACCCCTGCGTCCCCCCAGGAAAAAAGCACTGGATGCATGTGAAAAGTGCCATTGTTGACATCATGTGCGTTGCCAAGATTTTTGTTAGGGGGGAGACAGAACTGACATGATTGGTCAGTTAGTTTAAGTATTCTATTGTTTTCCTGGCTATGTCTATGCATGGCATCCTAGATACTAACACTGCTCACTTTTTATGGGGCATCTTAACAACGTTGTGAGTACAGTATCTTTTATGTTTTCCCTTTTCAGGTTTCCCCCCCTTCAAAATTAAGAAAATCCAACTGAAAACTCAATGGAATAGCTACTTTAAATTACTATTTTACTGTCAGTCTGGCCAGTGATGACCTCTAGCTATTTGCTTTGCTATGGCCTATCTCTGCTTGTTAGGAATCAAGTCTACCATTTTAACCCTTCCCTTTCTAAATACCATTGCCTTTATATCTGTTTTTCTCTTCCCCATCCCCGGGGTAAATCCTGATCACTAGTACTGTGGGGACAGGGGGAGAAGAGATTATATAACCCAGTGGTGGAGAACTGGATCTGGGCAGCAGGCCAAATTTATTGACAGAATAACATCAGTTGGTAGATACTTTGAAGTCCCAAGAATTGTAAGGACTTCACAGCAACAGGCAGGGCTTGCAAATAGCCCTACACAATGCATTGAACCACCAGTGATCAGCTGGTCAGCGGTGCATCAGGGCTCTTGTGCATTGGTAACTGCATTTCCATCTGTTCCTCAGTGGACAAGTGGGTGTGATTTGGGGGAAAACGCTTTTCTGGTCAAATTAGGATCTGGGCCTAATTAGACCCACAGACTGGAGTTCCCCACCTCTGATTTAATGCTTCCCCTGCCCCCACACAAACTGTGGACCCTGTAACACTCCCCTTCCACATCTGAAACTAAGGAAAGGGGAACTGCTCCCTTGGCTACAGAGTTTTAGAAGTCTGAAAGTAGAGTTAATTGTATTTCTATCTTGCGGCAGAGCAGCAATAATTGGATGCTAACTTAATTGCCCACATCTGGAAGCCATTGTTTCTTATTGTAGGTTATAGGTTTTATTGTAGAATATAGGTTTTCAGAGGTAGAAACTAATCTTTCTAGCAATAGAAAGAAACTGTACTGTACAGTAAAGACCCCTCTTGCTGTTCTTAATTTTTGTAACAGCTTGATTGTATTACAGGGTTGCCTATCATTGCAATCATATACAGTGGTACCTCGGGTTACATACGCTTCAGGTTACAGACTCCGCTAACCCAGAAATAGTACCTTGGGTTAAGAACTTTGCTTCAGGATGAGAACAGAAATCATGCTCCGGCGGCACATCGGCAGCAGGAGGCCACATTAGCTAAAGTGGTGCTTCAGGTTAAGAACAGTTTCAGGTTAAGAGCGGACCCCCGGAACGAATTACGGTAAGTACTTAACCCGAGGTACCACTGTACAGGTCTACTCAGAAGCCTGACTGAGTTCAGTGGGACTAACTCTCAAGTTAGTGTGTAACTTAGTTGCAGCCTAAATTAAAACAAGTGATGTATTGTGGCACCTTAAAGACCAACAATTTACTATGGCATATGCTTTAATGGACTCAAGCCCATCAACTATCCTTGAGAATATTTTGATTAAAGGCAGTGTCTAAATCTAAATAAATAAATAAATAAATAAATAAATATTGTAAGCATAAACATCTAGACAATAGTTTCTGGGTTCTTTATTTAACTAACAGTCATTTAACTAATTCATAGTTTTAAGTGCTATACAGAATGCAGGTACGGTAAGTCCTAAGAAGTAGTCCAGTAAGTGGTGTTCCTGTAGAAACTCCATTGAATTAAAGGTCATTTATGTGGAGGCAGTACTTGGGTAGTATATATCAATGCTTTATTCCAAATTGGTTTACAGTTTGAATAGGTTGGCAGAAGAAAGTCAGTATTACAGTTAATTCTACATTCATTGTTATATATCGGGGTGATGACCCTTGTAATGAGCAAATTTAACATTTCAAATGGTTGTTTTGCTTACGACTCTCTGGATATGATATACCGTACCAAGGAAAACCATGTCAGCTTCTTTTCACAGTCTACCAGTAGCCTGTTAAGAGTATCTGCAGATCCCTCATAGAATACAATAGTTACCAACAGATGCACTACAGTGGTAAGGCTATCCTTGTCCAGGAATGACTGTAGCTGGGGAACCAGACAAAGCTGGTAAAAGGCGCTCCTAGCCATAGATGGCACTTGGGCCTCTAGTGACAAAGATATACGTATTCAGGAGTAACCCTCATGTTCCTTCAGAGGGAGTGCAACACCAGCAAGAAAGGATAACTTGCCTATCTCCCAAGCTTGGAAACCCAAAGAACCTCTGTCTTCCCAGGATTCAAGCACAGTTTATTGGTCCTCATCCAGTCCACTATTGCATTCATACATGGATCAACAGCTTTCACAGCCTGTTATAGATGTAATGGAGAAGTAGAGCTGTATATCATCAGCCTATTGGTGATATCTTGTTCCAAAACTAATGACTTCTCCCAATGGCCTCATATAGCACTGGGAAGAGGAAAATTCTGTGTGGAAGTCCATAGCACAAGTTGCACTTGCCCAGTTCAGAGAACCATGAGAACACAGTGCCTCCGATAAACTATCCCATTGAGTTGCTTCAAGAGGATACTATGGTCAACTGTGTAAAAACCTCTAGGCTCACATTGTTCCTGTCTCTTATGCTAAAGGTAATCTACCAGGGCAACCAAGGCTGCTTCAGCTCTGAACCCAGACTGTAGTGCATCTAGTTAATTAGTCTCATCCAGGAACACTTGCAGTTGCTTTGCAACCGCCCTTTGCACCACCTTGGCCAAGAAAGTGGCATTGGTGGCTGGTCTATAGTTATACTCTATTTGAAATGTAATATTAGGAAAGGAACTGCATATAGAAAAGGGTGCTATGCACAGGATATCCCACATTCTGGTGTGTGTTTATCTGGTGCTGGTTTGCAAACTATGCTAATGTTTGGCTGTTAACACTGGCAGGAATACTGGATTCAGCTCGCCTGTTCCTTCTGAACAGGTGACGGATGCTAACAAAGGTCTTTGATTGCTGGCAGATGTACACTACCTAGATAGAAGCCAATTTCAATGCTGCATTTCTTGCTGCTGTGTTTCTACAAAATCGCACCAGGAATCCCTCTATGAGATGAATGTGGGATTGCTCCTTTTGATGTGTGATAGTATCTATCAAGTCTTTTCAAAGAAATGCCTGCTGTGATCAGAAATTCCAGGAGCACTTACCTTAATAAGTGTCAACGGGAAGCTGATTGCTAAA